TACTATGGCCCGACTATTTGTCATACTCGACCCCTTTCATAGTACTCATCTTACCTTTTTATGCCTTTGTGTCTGTCTGCCTCTTTTACCTCTGTGAATCATTATTCTGTCTCCCATCTCGACTTTTTGTCACTTTAATGTTCCCCGAAGTCAGCTCCAGGGCTAATGATAATTATCAAAACGCCTGCCATTTGAAATAAATAAATAAATAAACCTTTATGTCTCTCTGTTTCATTTACATCTGTGAATCACTCTTCTGTTCCTCCTCTCGACTTTTTCTCATTTCGATGTTCCTCCACCACTCGGTGAAGCCCGAAGTCAGCTAAAGGGATAATGATAACTATTAAAACGCCTGCAATTTGAAATAAATTATAAGACATTAAAGTGATTGTGAATTTAAAAGAAAAGACGCATGAGTAAAAATGGTTGCAGAAAATGTTATTTGGTGAAATTGTTTTCAAATCGTCTTTCAACTGTTGACAATCAGAAAATTTAACATTTTTTAATCAATCAAGCATAAAAATGGCAGCCACTTATTTTCTGCGCTTTGGAACCCAGACCCTCAGGTTCCACCCACGCAACTATCTTCTTGTCCTTCTCAACAAGAATGTCTAATTTATCAATCTTAACAGCAATAATTGACATAAAAGCAAATATTTAATCTACGTGCTCTATTAAATCTTTCATGACTTCTGTACGTAGTTCTCAACACGGATACGAAGTAACTGATATATTGTGTATAAAAGTACAAACCTTTAATCCGATCAAAACAAAACAAGTCACAACATACCGTTTAAAAATGTCATTCTCAACACTTCATTCGTTGCAAAATTTTGCTCCAGAAATCGCCGGTTAGAATGCGAAACAATTGACAGATTCATATGTGCCGTTATGCAATACATTCTAAAAAAATCAAAGTGAGAGCACATTCAGTTACCTTTGGAACGATTTTGGAAAAGAAAGATGAAGTTGAATTAATCAAACGATAAAAAATTCTATTGGCCTACCTACTTTATTCACAACTTTTGCTCAATAACTCACTCAATTGAACCTAGTTCACGATTTTTCTTTTCAAAAGCGTTCTATGCTAACAAAAAATGCGATTGCATTGTCACAATAATTATGAATAGTTCGTCACCAAACCTATGAAATTCGGCTAACTTAAAACGTTACCTTGTCGGAGAATATCTTATATGTCTATTTGCCTTCTTAACCATTTAAAAAATAAATCAACGCGTCAACAATGACCCTTCTCGGATCAATGAGCACTGAACATCACACACAAGCACTTGATGGAAAAAAGGGTTGAATAGTCAATTTTGAATTTTGGAATTTGAATAGCTTACTTAGAATCTATTTGGCAATCCAAGTTCTAAACCAATTGAACAAAAAGCTCTTTGATGCCATGATGTGCCCCGCTGTGCCTTTTACATCAACGTGCCCCCCCCTCCCCTCATCAATTATGGCAATTAATGTACTTGAATATCTGTCATTTTCAGTAATCAAAAAGTATGACACTTTTTATCACTGCAGAATATAAAAAAACAGTAATAGTACAGGCTTCAAAGCATTTGATTGTCAAATTGTAATCTTCGGAGCAATATATCTTAAACAAGCTATTAGTAACCCCAACTTAGAATGAAAAGACTCTGATGTTGAAAACTGCCTTTGATTCTACTCAATAAAGTGTGTATTTTAACTATATCATTGGAGAGATATTATTACTTTAATTTAGGTGGGGTGTGCGATGGACTTACCTCCACGTGGTGCAGCCTGGGTAACATATACTCATAAGGTAAAAAAGTCTATTAACTGGCAGTTGATATTTGACTTCAAACTACCAAGACCCCACTGTATGTCATATTCGACCCCTTCCACAGTACTCATCTTGCCTTTTCTCTGCCTTTGTGTCTGTCTGTCTTTTACATCTGTGAGTCGCTCTTCTGTTCCCCACCCCTCGACTTTCTGCTACTTTGATGAACCTTCCCTCTGTGAAGCCCGAAGTCAGCTAAATGTTTAATGATATCTATCAAAACGCCTGCCATTTGAAATAAATAAATAACTCCTTGAGAAGGCCCTTCTGGAGCCTTTTAAGCTCAGCAGATTCGTTGGTCAAATCTAGCAAACCAAGTCACCTAATTTTCTTACTTCTCGACCGACACGCAATATCTAAGTAATATAAGTACTCATAGTTGTACTATCTTCGTTTTGGAATTGGTCCACGCGTTCCTAATATTTTCATGGCAAATCCCTAAATCGTAATCCCGTACTTCAATTTATATCTCCAGATCTGGGGGGAGTGACTACAAAGGTAGCAAGCTCTGAAAAAGCGATGAAAAGTTGATTTTCGAACCGTCTCGTGTAGACATTGAACCTGGCTCTGATCAAAGAGCTAGGCTTACTAGCTGAAATGAGTGATTTTGGTAACCAGAAATTGCCAGAAAATCTATAAGGAATGGTCAATTTTTAGAGAATGAAACCTACAAGCACCATTTTCAAAATGAGAACAAATTAAATATAGGTGCCAATACAATCTTAGCCGATCTTAAATGCTTACTATGTATCTCATTAACACATGGAGAACAGGCGGATTTTTATTGATGAGAGAAAAACAACCTTTTCTTTCTGTACACGACGGTTTGGAAACTGTGAGAATGATCAACTTGACCGAAATTTCGAGAAAGACAAGACGTTGCTTGGCTTCATGACTTTTGGTTATCGTCCTTTGGAATATAACATTCGACTTAAAAACACGTATAAAAGACTAAAGAGAAATTACCAATTTTATAGATCACGTCTTTGTGTACTGTGAACATTATTAGACAAACGGATAAATGCATTGGAAGGCTGGCATAAGTCAACCCAACTTGTGTCTCCGCGTCTCAAAGGGAGGTACTGCGAGTCATGGTATCACAAGACTGATATCGGGGCAGGATTCATTCGTACAAATCAATGGAATCAAGAGTTATGCATAAAATTCAATGATATATAATTTTACTCGCTTCTTCCAAGGAATAAGAAGTAAGTCAGTTTTTAACAATCACAGTGCTAAAATAACTGTGCCTTTAAAGTGATTTTTAAATCAAAACAGCGAAAATGGCTCTAATCCACGTTACTCATCTCAAAATATTCTTCATAACCCATCAGTAGAAATTGAAAATTAAGATTGCAAGAACTTTTAAAGCACATTAAGATCGAAAAATCTTTTCATTATGTACCGCATCTTGTTGCTTTAAAAATGAATTTGAATTGGTCAAATTCAGTACAGTTTTAGAGAAGTCGGACATTTTTGCAAGTTCGTGCTCGTGATGAAAAAATTGCATTATAGCACCACAACCAACCTCCATCACTTGTATAGGGGTCATGTTATCCAACAATGGAAATCTTAAACCCTCATAACTCTAAAGTTCTCGAAAGTTCGCCAGGTATGTTGATTTACAGTCCGCCAATAATAGTAAAACTCGCTTTTATTGAAATAATAAAATCTGTTACGCAGAAACGAGTGGAGTTTTCAATTGAATAGAATAAAGAAAAGAACAAAGTGATTTACCAATCAGGAAACAAGTGAATTTTAATTGGCCATTGAAATTAGACGTATATATTGTGTTTATGAAGTGCCTACCTTTTTGAGTTTCAAGGTCAATACCAACCATGCGTCTCTTTAACGAACCAGGGACAGATAGTGCCTTCATCCTGCCTTCACCACGAATACTTCGTCTTAGATGGGGATCAGTTGTTGTGGAACATATCGATCAGGATACTGGAAGACGGAAGACGGAAACTGCGAAATACAAGGATGCGAAGCTCTGGCCCGGAGGAAGTGCACCCTGGAATTGGAAGGAACACGGCAAGCAATAATTTCATTTTAACACTAGAAATTGATATTATACCTAAGCGAATTTTATCTTTAGCCCTAAAATGTTTTTGTGCCAAACTCATTTTTAACAAAAAGGCTTTAAATTTTGATCGCCAAATAATTGACCCAATTTATTGCCCATTTTTTTGTATAAATAATTGTTGTGGTAAGCTATTTAAGCCCTTCATTAAGGAAGCGGCAGGAATTGTAACGCCCCTTTTTAATAAATTTATAGTGGGGGGAGTTAGCTCTTCCCAAGCAAAAGCGGGAATATATAATTAATTTTAAAGTTGCATTGCATTTATGTATCTGATACTCGATTACTAAATAACAAATTACAAATGACATGACAAGTTTATACCATAAAAGGAATTTCGGTTCATGTTAAATTTCTGTGTTTCCCAAAGTAACCAAACTAGTTATGAGACCCCCTTGATTAAGATGGCAAAATTTGAAATATTCCTAGCTAATCAGCTTATTCAGCAACATTTAAAGTGATGTCCTGACATCTATTTCAAATCATGACTTTAGAAGGCAGAATCTTACTGGTTAGAATTTGGTGAATGTGAGAAAAG